ATCTCTCACCAGCAACAATAGGTGGCTTTACACATTTTATGTGCCCCTCACTCAGAAGTTCTCTGTGTATCTTATAGACCTTTACTCAGAAGGACTATGCAATAATGCCTTTGCTTGCTTGGAAGATCTTGTAGAAAACTAAAAAGTACTTTTGTGGCAATTATTCCAAATGTTTTTTTAAAGTACAAGATAAAAGTTCAAGTGTATACCATAAGTTGTCTATTTTTCCATATGTAACTTCTATGCAAAAATACACTGCATATGGTCGACTATGGTCGACTATTATGTGCTGCATATACTTCAATTCAAGTAGCTTAGATCTGCAATAAACAGCATCCTCTAGTGGATACTTAAGTGTTGCAATTTGAAAGTTTTTTTTCATGAATACATTCTTAAGCCAGATGTTTACTGTATTTCCTTTTCTGAGGTACCAAGTGGGAAAAAAAGGGTGACCACTAAAAGTGCTGCTTATTGAACATTTGTTGGTGATCTTTTCTCTTCTCTTTATGGAGTCAACATATTGCCCCCAACAATCTGGGTTCTCATTTTACTGACCTCGGAAGGATGGAAGGCTGAGTCAACCTTTAGCCAGTCAGGATCGAAGGAATCAAACTCCTGACAGTGAGCAGAATTAGCCTGCAATACTGCATTCTAACTGCTGCGCCACCACAGCTCATCAATGACAATTCCTAATCTAGTTTTGCTGTGCTTTGTGAAAACTTGCTCTTAGTTATTCGGAGTCCAGTAAAGCTAACTTGCCCCATTGTGCTTCCAAGCTAAGTAAATAGTTTTGCACAACCTTCATCACAAACTGGCCTTTATGAGATGAATGGTGCCATGACTCTTTTGGCAAAAAACATAAACAAGGGATTTTATCTGCAACCAAAACATTTCAGTCATAACGTACCATAAAAGATATTAAGACCATTTAGAGCAGAGGTCTCATTCTCGTGGCCCGCGGGCCAATTGAGGCCCACAGGACAATATCCTGTGGCCCCCACCGTGATATGAAAGTATAATATTAGTGCGGCCCGCAGGGGGAATGGACCTCTGAAGGAAGTTCCACCCACTGTTCTTCATCGTGGCTGACATTTGGTGCTAGGCTAAGCTACACCGACTTCATGCACACTACACTTGTAACAACAGTGTGGCGGATGACGAACAGTACGGTAGCAGTCGCCTTTTTTTGCAGTCGCCATTCCGGTACTTTCTACCATCAACAAATGCCACGATCAAATGCAGAGAATGCCGGTTTGCCATGGAATAGGTTTGTTGGAATAACAACTGATGGAGCGCCATCAATGATGGGGAGGAAAAATGGACTGGTGGCACTTGTTCAGAGAAAACTTGAGGAGGGTGTAGAAGAGGCTATTGCTCTGCACTGCATTATCCATCAGCAGGCCCTTTGCAGCAAATGCCTGAAGTGTGACAACGTGATGTCTGTTGTTGTGAAATTCATCAACCACATCAGATCCAGGGGCTTAAAGCACAGGAGGTTCCGTACTTTTTTAGAGGAAATGGAGTCAGAATATGAAGATGTGCTCTATTTCACTGAGGTACATTGGCTCAGCAGGGGAAATGTCTTGAAAAGATTTTTTGAACTGAGAGAAGTGAAAGCCTTCATGGAGAAGGATGGGATGGCTGTTCCCGAGTTGAATGATCAGAAATGGCTCATGGACTTAGCTTTTCTTGTCAACATCACACATGAGCTGAATGTACTGAACAAGAAGTTACAAGGCCAGGGGCAGCTTGTCAGTGCTGCCTGTGACATGAGAGCATTCTCCACAAAATTTGTGCTATGGAAAGCCCAGCTCTCTCAGGCAAACCTCTGCCATTTCCCAGCATGCAAGGCACTTGTGGATGCAGGCACACCGTTCAGTGGTGAGAAGTATGTTGATGCTATTTTGAAGCTACAGAAGGAATTTGATCACAGATTTGCAGACTTCAAGACGCACAGAGCCACTTTTCAAATTTTTGCAGACCCCTTCACCTTTGATGTGCAAGATGCCCCTCCTGTGCTTCAAATGGAGCTTATTGACCTGCAATGCAACTCTGACCTCAAGGCCAAATTATAGGGAGGTGAATGGAAAAGCAGACAAGCATGGGCTATTTTTGAGAGAATTGCCCCCCAGCTTCCTTGAGCTTTCCCGATTGTTCAAGCGGACCATGTGCCTTTTGGGGAGCACTATTTGTGCGAAAAGTTCTTCTCCACCCTGAACTTTAACAAGTCCAAGTACAGGTCCAGACTTACTGATGATCATCTTCAAGCCATACTGAGGGTCTCAAGTGCCTCCTCTCTTAAGCCAAATGTGGCTCAGGTATGTGAGAGGAAGCGTTGTCAAGTCTCTGGCAGCAAGGAGTAAGCTGGAGAAGCCATGTTCTGAGGAACTGTTCATGATCTTCATTCAATGTTCCATTCATGTGTTCAGGACAGTTCATGTATTGGAGAAATCATTAACTGTTGATGACATTTGAGGATATTTTTTTAACGTTTTTTGTGGAATCCCTTATGCGGCCCAGCCTCACCCAGCCTCTGCCTCCAGTGGCCCCCAGGTAAATTGTGTTTGAGACCCCTGATTTAGAGTATCTTCTGCCCTAGGAAAAATTAAAACATGTAGGTTTTAAAAAAAAACACTTCGTTTTTTCATAAGTAGGGAATCAACAGCTTAGAGGAAAGTCAAATATATGCTATTTGGTATGCAGGTAGTCCTCAAATTATGACCATAAATGTGCTTGAAATTGGGTGTTGTTGTTATTAAGTCAAGGTATCATTTGGCTGAACCCAATTTTTAACATTTTTTACAGCAGTTGTTAGACAAACAGCATAGTTATTAGGCAAATCCATTACATCCAATGGGCATTTTTTACCAGAAACTAGAAGCATCAGAAACTGGCAAAACAAAAAAATCAGTCATATGACCATGGGATGCTGCAAATGGCTATAAAGGTGAGCCAATTGCCAAACCCCAAAATGCAATATGTCTGGAATCTGGTGGTGCAGCTGTTGTAACTTCAAAAATGGGTTGTAAGTAACTTGTATGGCTCCATTGTAATTTTGGGCACTAGTTTTGTAAATTGAGGACTACTTGCAATTCAAAATGCTATGTAAACCCAGAAATGATCGTTTTAATTTTTGTCATAGTTTTAAGGATTTTGTTCTGGTGATACACAGAATATTTTACGTATCATGGCAAACAAGCCTTGTAGCTAAAGCCATTTTAAAGCACTTTTCAATCCACCGAGGCTTAGGCTATTAACCTCCGATACAGCATTTAAAAATATTTAATACTGAAGGCCTTAACCAGTCTCTTCCAACTGACAAGTGAAGAGTGTGAGTGCATTTATGCATTCGTATTTACCCTCTCAGGTAACCAGTGACCATGGCAAATATGTCAGCAAATGCATTCCAATTAACTGCTGTATTACAATGCGTAAAAAAAATATCTCTATATACAGATTTTACATTTTCATGTTTATATATGTATTATTCTTTTATGTTATCAGCCACCCAATGTCACTTTTTGTGAGATGGGCAGCAATACATTTGATTAATCAATGGATCATTCAATTAAAGGAAAACCTTGCTCACTTTTTCTTCCGCCTTTCAAAAAAAGGCCAGGTTAAATTACAAAAGGATTCATCCCAGATCACCTTAGCTTACCTCTTTTAAGAACAACTGAACCGAGAGGTAGCAAAAGGAAGAAACAATGTTATTCTGAAGTTAAAATAATTATTCAATTGAAATAGAAGAGGAACAGTGGTGGACATCTCAATTTTTTATTAGTGCATAAAGTTAATGGTATGTTAAACCATCAATTAAAACACTGGTTTGGCAGTGGTCATCTTTCAAAACTGAGGCAAAAACTACAATATTTGATGCGATCATGCTTTAGGCACGAACAAGATCATTTTGTTTCAACCACAAAACTCAGTTCAAACTCTGTGATATGGCTTTGCAGATCAGATTAAGTGGTCCACAATTTGTAACTTTCAACTGAAGTGGGGGGTGGTAGTGGGATAGTTTCAGTAATCCACACTCTCTATCCAAAGGTTCTGATCTGACATTTCAAATCACTTCGATTTGATGCTTTGCTGCTCTGGTACAGAAATTAAACAGAACCTTATTTGATCACTTTAGTACATGGGATAGGAAGGGTTGGATAAAAATGCAATATACAACTTACTATTTACCTATGAGTTACATTTTAAAAGTTTTATATTTCATGAAGTTAAGGATCGACTTACAAGTATTTTGAAAAGGAGTACTAACAAAGAACGCCTTGTAAACTCAGATTTGCAATTGATCCAGAAAATGACTTTTTCCATGAGCTTTGTCTGCTAGAAGACCATACAAATGAATTGCACTACAGCACCATAAGGTATGTTTTTCACTTTTGGAATAAAAAAAGCCCAAAATATATCCACGTCACAGCAGCCTATTAATTGAAGAACCCATTCCAGCAAAGCTGGCTTGAGGGAACCTTATCAATTAGATTTCTACTGTATCTACCAATTTCCCCATTTGTATCTGCTCTTGAGGAGGTCCAATGCTTTCACCCCCTGACCCCAAGTTTTACTGCATGACACTCAGCTTCTTCCATGCCATTAGTATTTGCATTTTCTTGGTACTGGGATTTTCTGTTGCAAAAATTGCTAGGCAAAATGGGAGAACTCCCAGAGATATGGCACTTTCATCTCAGTACTAGTTTCTGATCTGATTTCAATATATGTGGTGTTTTTGTCGAGGCATACATTTCTACATTTTGAAATTGAGAAAGACAACTGGCCAGTAATGTGGTCCCAGGACTTCACTGCGCTCTTTTCAAGAGCCAACACAAGCAGTAATTCTATCTGCATGCTTCTCATTATACCATGTGTTTTAATTTGGTCTGTACAATACACAAAACACCTTACAACCAATTTAATATCTCAACAGATGTCAAGGAATTTTATAAGAAGCTGATAAACCTTAAAAATGTTATGGCTACTTGTCCTATTTGGTGTTACCCTGAAAGCAAGCAATGGCTACTTGGTCTCTAAAGAAGCACCATCACCTCAGCTTAGAAAAACATAGGAAACTATCTGGAAATAAGGGGGGGTCCCTTAGGCGGACAAGAATTTGCATGGCTTGTAGTCACTATTCCAGAGCAATTGGTGGGGAGACAATAAGCATTTGAATCAATATGCAGGTTCTACTGGCTTCCATATATCATCAAGCAGATTAATAGTTAACATCATACCTCCTAACTCAGAATTTATTTTGATCTCATGGCAAATAAAACTTGTAAGGAGTACAGTAACTTCCAAGAGAAATACTGCATTCAACACTTGTCAAGAGATAAAAATAATAAATACAATACAAACTATAAGCATCCATTTGTAAGAAATTTCAGGCTTCTTCTATGGCACTGTTTGCGGTCTCTGTTCAGTACAGCATTGCAAGACATAATTTTCATTCTTGTAAAGCGGGAGTGTCAAACTCATGTCATCATGTGATGTATCAGGACTTTTTCCGCCTTCGCTAAACTGGGCATGGGCATGGCCAGTGTGCGACACATCTGGCCTGCGGGCTGGGAGTTTGACAGCCCTGCTGTAGAGTAACATGACCGGAGATTTCTACCAACAGATGGAGCCTATTATCATCCCAGGCAGAAGTACAGAAACAGTCAAAGGCCGCAGTCAGCCCTGAAAACACAGACTGTGCTTGACTAGACATCTGGATGTTCTAAGTGTGGTATCCTAGGGGGAGAAGTAACGTAGGTGCTTCTCAAAAGGAACCCTCCCCCTGAAAGAATGGATAATTTGGGTGGTGATTTTCACCATCAGGCGAGAAGAGTCTCCATTTCCCTACCCCACTACGGGGAAAGAGACAAATATCACACTGCAACAAATAACCGTCCACTCTTCATTTAAATAATGAACCCAGAAAACCTTCAAGCAACTTAGGGACAAAATTGTGCAGTTTGAAGTAGGGAGAAAAGGCTCTCAGATTAAACCAATTTAGAGAATTGCTTCAAACAATAATAAAGAACAGAAGACCTTTTTTTTCTAAAAATGTTTTTTTTACACATTTTCCAGCTATTTATAAAACAGCAACTAAATACCAATAAAGTCTGAACCGAAGGAATGTGCTTCAGAAAAAAATTCACACATTTAAAAGAAGTGTTTCTATTAATGCAGTATGCCCATGTATTTTTTGTGTAACTGTTAATCTCTTTCACCTGATTTTTAAAAACTTAAAAACACTCTTCGCCGGTCCCTAGGTCCATGAAACAATATTGCATTTAGAAGAGAAGTGCTCCCATGCTGCCAACTTCACTCTGCTCTTTTACAAAGATTTCAAAGTATTGGTAAATGATGGTGACAGCCAACAAGATTCCCGTGCCTGATCCTATTGCCCCAAGGAAGTCTGCCAGCACAGAGAGGGCACCAATGCAGAGGCCACCAAAGGCGGCGGCTGTTGGAATGTATCTGAAAAAGGAGGAGCAATAAAATAAAAGTTAGGCCAAAAGATTTAAGGGAAATAATCTACTGGCACAGCTACTGAAGAAAATACTGAGGCAAACTACAGTCAATCCTCAACTTATGACAGTAATTGAGCCTGCCCTTTACACTCTTATGTCACTGCAGTCATTAAGCAAGGTGCCCATGTGATTGCCTTGCTCAACAACTGCTATCTTAGCCCTCTTAGGTGCAGCTGCTAAGAGACGGTGTAGGTTAGTGATCCCCAACCTTTTTGGCTCCTTGGAGTGGTGGCAGGGGAGGAGAGGATGGTTTCATGCATGCAACCTAATTTCACGCTTTGTGCGGTAGTGCGACCTGCATGTTGGGGACCCCTGGTGTAGGTTGTTAAATGAATAAAGCGAAAGAGCTGCTTGCCAAGAGAGAAGGCAACTCTCCTCCATGTGCAGGGCTAGAGAAGTTCAGATCCTGATGATCCAAGAGCCCCATGTGCATGAAGACTAAATTTGCAATCTCCGTCCACGTGAAAAGTGTTTGAGCGACCCTGCGGTGCGTTGGAAACGGAGTGAATCGTTCAGTTTCCAACTGCCCCAGGTCGCTCAAACACTTCTCACCTGAAGCCTGGAAAATTCTGGAGTCATGATCTCGTGCAACTTCAGACACCTATCTGCTTTTGCAGAGAATGGGTGCTTGACATCCCACGAGATCAGGGCACCCAGAAAGTTCCAGTCTCCGGGGCGGGGGGGGGGGGGGGGGGGGAGTGTTTGCTTGCTAATGAGAGACCTGAAGCAACGCAGGTTTGTTGCCCCAAAGCTTCACTTTGGTGTGTAAATGCTTTTCTGTCCCGAGCCTGGAAACCTTTGGAGGAGACTCACCGAGGCTGCCCACTGCTCCAGAAGTGGCAGGCAGCCTCAGTGAGCTTCTCTTCTCACAGAGAAGCTGAGCAGGGCGCACTTGTCCTGGAGAGGAGACAGCTCACTTTGAAGGGTGAGTCTTCATAGACCTGCCTGTGGAGATCCGACAGGGGTGGGGGTGAAGAATAGGCAGGACGAATGTTGCAGAGCCTCATTCATAAGGGGGAATGACGGCCTCATAACTTCAGGACTGGGTCGTAAGTACTGGGGGGGGGGGGGGGGAAGCTACATCTTAATTTCAAACTGTCTCTAAGTGAACTGTCATTCTTGTATTCAATTAAAATACAACCCAGGCTTCATGTACATTTTGTTTCTGTTTTACATACATGAAGGAAATTATTTACTTCTTTTAACATCAGCATCAGTGGTGAGAAAAGTTGCCTTTTTAAAATAAGCAAACCATGAGGTTTATTGCCTTTGCTTTACCAAATATAAAGCAAGCATTCTCAGGAATATTATGGAGAACATTTTCTAAGGCTAGAATTTCAGTAACTAGGATAGAACACAGAAGGCCGTTAAATCTGCAAGGTAGTTTATTTCCAATTCTCCTTCTCTAAAATAAATGCTCAAATAGCAACACAGAGTACAATAACGCTACAGATTTATAACTCACCTGTTGAGTTCATGAACCATGGAGGTTTCTCTGTGGCCCCTCATAACCATCTGTTGCTCTTTCAGTTGTTTAGCAACCTGTACTCCAAAACAAGTAAAATTTTAGCATTTCGTGAAGAGAATCAATACATTTGGTTGCTATAAAAATTTAAGAACCTCAATAATTCTTAACATCAGAAACAGTATAAGGTTATGGCAACTAAATCTAAAAGATTTAACTTATTAAGGCATATTGCCATCTTCTCAAGTAAACCCAGGGAATAATTTCTAGAAATGAGTTATAAACATTTATAAATTCATACATGAAAGATTTTGGTGCCCTGAGAATGGGTACAGAACGAGCATAGCCACGGATTTATTCCACCCAAGATTTGGTGGGATGGGGTGGGGTGGGGGTGGAGGGTAAGTTTGGATGTTAGGCAACTAAGGGTAAGCCTATTTTCTAGCATATATTCAGCAATAGACCCAGATTAAATCCACAGCATCTCCACATGCTCAGGGGAAAGTGCTTGGAGCGCCACAGTCAGGCGCTAAAGAATACCAAATTTAATAGAGCAGCAGTGTGACTTGCTATGAGGCATATCCTGTAGAATTTGACCTTTCCATGAATTTTTTCTTCAAATGCTTACGGCAGTGTTTTAATGCATCTAAAGGTGTGAGATTTACGCTATTTACTTACATCTTTTGCAGACGAGCCAGAGACTTCAATCCAGGTTTTGGAAAAGAAAGCACAGGAACCCAACATAAACACAATATAAACAACTGCGTGAACAGGATCATCTAAAACTGATGTAAAAGACTCAGGAGGCGACAGGTAATAACAAAGACCACCAACAGGATAGGAACGGGCAGGACCTCCAGTTGATGTATCCTACAGTGAAAACAGATTGTTTTCAGCAAAATTGGATTAAACTTTCTTGAGTGAATAAGTATTATACAATTGCTAGCAACCAATTTAGTCAAGTTAGGAATATTTATGTATGATAGTGATGAGTCTTCTGTTGCATTGCAAAAATGCCTGCATGCAATTGTTAGCATAATATAATAAAATATGCTAAGGTTAATATAATACAAAGGAACTGGTAATAAGACAAAAAATTAAGTAAGGATCAGTATGAAAGGCCATCTCACTTTAAAGACAAATAGTAAATAAAAATCAGATACAATGTGTCTACTTATATGTCTATGTGCCTACTTGGAAGAAAGGACTAGAGAATTTATCAAGTTTTTAAAAGTATAGTACTGTAAATCTGCCTTCTTTGCAGTGGTGCCTTTGCTAGAAGCATTTTTAAGTACAGAGTTATGGAGAGCTTACAAAATACTTACAGACCAAGTACCCAGAAGGCTAACCAATATGTTGCCACTAAAACGAGCAGAGAGCATCTGAGAAATTACATACAAGTTGGAAACCAATGCAGACTGAAGAATAATGGGAATATTGGAGGTATAGAACAACTTGATTGGATAAGTATTGTATTGGCCACGGTAGCGAGCAGATTTTATAGGGAGGTCCACTCTAAATCCCTGTGGATCACAAAGGGAAAGAAATTAAAATGTAAACACAACAAAAATGTAATTCAGAGAAGTACTTGCCCCAAGGGTCAATCAAATCAAGGTTATTTTTAACAAGCAATTTCAAACAACAAAATGTTATATCCCTCCCTTTATTAGCTGATATAGGTAATGCCTCTTTAGCGACCACAATTGGTTGTTAAGTGAAGTGGTCACCAAGTGAAACCACAACTCTGATTATGATCTTACTTCTGCTGGCAGGAAATATCTAGTGTTTCAATTAGCTTTATACCAAGATAAAAGGATAACTCATATTAACATAATATCACTTCTAATCTACAGTACATCCGTACATTTCTCCAATAAACCTTGTGGAAATATTCAAACTTCCTATTTTGGCTATGTATTAATAAGCATTTCATCAGAAATTATATGGCCTTAATAAACATCTTCCCAGGCCTGAATAGAATATGAAAATATATTAAACTCTAAACTGTCATTCTATACTTCTACATACCTGGAAATAAATGACAACAGCAAAGACAAATATGGTGGAAATCAAGTTCATAAGGTTGGGGAGATTCTGCCGGTAGAAGGCTTCCCTGAGAGCTCTAACTTTGTCTGTGCGAGTAGCCAGCAGATGGAACAGGGCAATGATGGCGCCTTCAAATTCCATGCCTTTTAATGAACAGGTGAAGAAATTATTAACTACTGTATGAAAAGCTGTTGCTTTATAGTCCTTGCCTTTGAAAGGTGGCAATTTAGAATAGTCCGTATACTCCAATTACTCCTAAGATTGATTCATTCTCTAAAAATGAGATTAAACCCCAATACTTCCTTCTTAGCCATGTGACTAGTATTAAAACTAGCAGCAACTGCCACTTGTTAAATTTAACTTATAATATCTATTATAAGAATAGTAAGAAATTAGCTAAAACTGATAAAATAGAAATAGGTTATGAAATATATAAAACAAAGAGACGTAAATAAAATGGCAACAATTTTAACAATAATAAAAAGCAACCAAAGGCCTATAAAGCTACACGAATCATGTTCTGCTAATTCTGATCATACAGAAATGAAGGGCCCCTCTGTGAACAACTGAAAAAGAACTATAAACATATTTGGAGATAAATTCTGATTGAAGGGAATGTTTTTCCAGCAAAATTGGTTTGCTGCATATTGCTATCAATTTTTTGAAAGGACAACCTCATTGTTTTAAAATTAAAACAATATATAATAATATACCATGCATATTTTGGTTCAGGGCCATGTATGCAACTGGCCACTGTGGTTTGCATGGTTTGAGGATTCTATGTGAACTAGGCCACAATTACCTTTTCAATAAACTACAATTAACTATAATTCTATAGAGGAATTATTGAGTCTGTCATCTGCACCTCTATAACTGTCTGGTTTGGTTCTGCAACCCAACAGACAGAGACTTCAGAGAGTAATTAGAACTGCAGAAAAAAACAATTACTACCCACCTGCCTTCAATTGAGGACCTGTATACTGCATGAGTCAAAAAGAGGGCTGTGAAAATATTTACAGACCCCTCACATCCTGGACATAAACTGTTTCAATTCCTTCCCTCAAAACAACACCAGAACAACTAGACAGAAGGACAGGTTTTTCCCAAACACCATCACTCTGCTAAACAAATAATTTCCTCAACACTGTCCAACTATTTACAAAGTCTGCATTACTATTATTAATCTTCTCATCATTCCTTATCACCCATCCTCTCCCACTTGTGACTGTATGACTGTAACCTTGTTGCTTATATCCTAACAATTGTTATTGACTATTTCCTAGTATGATTTGATTGCTTATTGTACCCTATGACTATTAAGTGTTGTACCTTATGATTGACTCGTGATGAACATATCTTTTATGAATACTGACAGCATTTACACCAAGACAAATATCTTGTTTGTCTAATCACACTTGGCCAATAAAGAATTCTATTCTATTCTATTCTATTCTATTCTATTCTATTCTATTCTATTCTATTCTATTCTATTCTATTCTATTCTAAACAAACTACAGTTTAATCGGATATATTAAATTTGCAATATATGCATTACCAAAGAGTCTCATCTGCTCAAGTGCTGGGGAAATACCTTTGAAAAACCCCCACTCATGTTGAAGTGTAATATACAAAGTAGTCAATAAAGAGTTAACATTACTACCTCTATGCTATGTCTGCTCAACAGAATGGAGTTTCCTTACATGCAAATATAAATATAACACCCAAGTTTGCATTATAATGTATTTCCTGTTTCTGGCCTATATTTTTTATCTTTCCATAAGCATCTTTAAAGAGTAACAGTGCAAATTATAAGATGAATTGTTTAGGATCTTCATCTGAAGGCCTTTGGATTTAAACTGGAGAAAAGAAATGCTTTGCTGCTTGGTTTTCCATACACTCACTTAAGACTCCCTGGGTTTCCTATAATTATTAGTACTGCTAATAATGAGAGATACAAACTTTCTCAATAAGCCAATTCTTCCATGAATTGCCAAACAAGTGAAATCTACCACAATACACACATTTTCACAGAGGTATTCAGGGTTCCAGGCAGCCATGTTTTTTTAAAGATAGTATAGCATATAAAAATTCAAGCAAACCACTTCACGGCTCCTTATCCTTACTAACTTGCTATTTTTTCTTTTTCAGATGATTGATATGTATCTCTTCAAAGAATGATTACCTCGGCCAGTGTTCACTGTAGTTGGGCTGAATGCCTTCCATACAATAGTCTCACAGATATTAGTAGCGATGAAGAGAGAAATGCCAGAGCCAAGACCATAGCCTTTTTGCAAAAGTTCGTCCAACAGAAGAACTATCAAACCAGCAACAAAAAGCTACAAGGAGAAATGTGTAATATATCAATCACTTAAATTAAAAATAATACAGAAACAGTTAAATAGGTACAGCAATTTCTATAAATACTTGTCTGTGGAGATCACTTAGTAAGGAGGGCAGCTCTTTTGGGTACTATGTTTCTGTCAGCTTCAACCAAGTTGATTAAGTCTCTTATCTTTTCAAGAATGTTACTGAAAGGGTAGGGTAAACACACAATTGTGAAATGTGTAAATCTCAGCTCTTTGGTTGTGAGATTAATACACCAAGAAGTGAAACCTTCCATAGTAAATTTCCTGTCTAAGAAAGAAGCTTCCAGGTGACTGTTAAGAGTTTGCAAAAGGGCCCAATTTCAGTTTTAAATTTTAAATATCTACAAATCCTAGGCCTACATCCAGAAGAGTTTTAATGACTTAAAAATTACCTGAATGGTGATAAGGAGACAAATTCCTGCTCCCATCTCTGATGGGTCTCCATACATCCCAGTCATTACATAAACAATAGATTGTCCAATAGTAATAATCATGCCAAACACTGGAAAAGAATTACAAGACCAAAAAAAAGTGAATGCAATTTAACATTACAAATTTCCTGAGATCAATTTATATTATTCACTGTCTATATCTGCATGAATAAAATAAAAATGAATAGAATAAAAAAAATTAAAATTTCCCATTCCTTACATTTCTGTGCACCATTGAAGAGAGCTCTGTCTTTTGGTGTATCCCCAACTTCAATTATTTTGGCACCAGCCAGTAGCTGCATGATGAGACCAGATGTGACAATGGGAGAAATGCCTAATTCCATCAGCGTGCCTGTTGGAAATCAGAAACAGAGTGAAATCCTTTCTGCTCAGCCCTACACAGATAACTAGCCATCTCAAGACATTATTAAAATGGAGAAACCAATTAAATTGTCAATGGAACTTCATTCTTTGCCATTTTACAAAAAAATAATAATCACTGTTATATTATCAAATTATGAAAGGCTGTTTTTGCTGAAACTACAGTTCATTTTGAAAAATAAGCCTCATCCTTTAGAAACAGCATTTCCCAACCTATTGATGCATAATAATTTGATATACTTTTTAAACATACAGAAAATGCTGGTTGTAAAAATTCTGCAAATATGCCAATATTATTTCCAGGCAAATCAAAATTCATAAGAATAATCAAAAGAATTCTGAACACCTTTGAAATTTGAATTATGCTCTTCAAGTTTGTCCCTGTGTAGAAATTTGCATTGCCAACTAGTAACAAAAACTGGGAGTACAAATTTAAAGAATGTTTAAGATGGTATGTACAACACAAAAAGAAATTTGTTTAAATGACCTGTAGAACATAGTTAAAATATATGAACTAGTATTATACGAGCCTTACCAATTTTCAAGCATATTGCCCTGCAAAGAAGAGAGTTTTACCAGATTATGTGAGCTAAAAAGAGGCTGGTTTTCAGAAGTTCATCAAGTTAAGGGCGAGGGTGGGGTGGATGGGTGGGAGGAAAACATGGCCTCTTTTAGCTCTGCTAAGAAAACCAGTAACTTCTGATTTATTAACTCCTTCAAGTCCAGGCAGCCCACTTAGCTATTAATATATAGCACTCTGTGTGCATATATATGTACACACATTCCTTCAAGTCAGCATAAGAGAGAACTAGAATTCACAATCTCATAGTTTCTATCCTGGTGCCTTAACTACTATACAAAACTGACTCTCCTATAACATTGACTTGACACAAAGTAATGGAAATCCCCAATAATTTTTGATACTTAAGTCAGTCAATTTCTCAGCCCCAGTCCCAATGGTAAAATTGGTGAAATAACATGTGAACTGCTTTAAAATGACGCAAAATATGCTTCTATCTTTGTAATGACATCATTATGGCCAACCTACAAAATCCCATTTTACTATCACAATATCCAAATCAAAATAATGCATATTTAAATCCCACTGATTAGATGGAATATTATTACTGAAGTCAGTGGGAATGCAAACTGCTTAACTCAAAGGAGAAACCCAGTTTGCTATATGATAGAAATGAAATTTAGCAAATAAATTAAGGTGAATTTCAATACCTCTGTTGGAAGCCAGAATTACTCTTATCCAATAAAAGGGATCAGCTGAATCCGATGACATAATACCAAAAAGGGGAATCTGGATTTTTTAAAAAAGAAAGCAAAATTATCATAGGCATGGCTCTCTAGCTTTAGTTTTAAAGAAAGTCTTGAAGTAATAAACAGAAAATACCTGGCAGCAGACCAAAAAGATGAAGAGAGTAATAGCTGTCCATAGCACCTTTTCTTTAAACTGGATCTACAATAAAACATGAAATTGTGAAAATAATTGTCATTGCCAACATTTGGCTAAAGCAAAGCATGTTTCCATGAAAAATACAGCTAATATTGTACAGCTCAATACGTCTCTCCCTTTTTTCCCTCACAACTCTCCAAAAATGCTGAATAGAAGGCTAAGGGACTCTTCTGATGAAAACTGCTGTGATATAGGGTTATATGTTATATTATGTGGAAACCAGAAAGGAATGTTTAACATATTTAAATTTCCAACATTTCCATGCTGCTTTTACTAAAACACACACTCAAAAGCAGAACATTGGTAAAAACAAAGCTTTCCAGTTAAAATTATTCTTGAGTAATTTAGTTGGAATTACCAGTATCATAAACCCCTATATTCACCCAGTTGGAAATCAGATGTAGAGGCATAGTAATGCTAATATCGATAAGTAAAATGCTATATATGGAAGTAAATGTTATCAAAAATGATAGCAGCATATTTTCCACCTATACTACTAAGAAATGACCACTATAAAACCAGCTTTCTGATGCCTTTCAGCCAAGATATTATGGCAAAATGAATACCAACTAACCCTATTCATTGGGGAAAAAAGAACCATTTACAAACAGCTTGTTTTCCCCTTCCTTTTCTAGAAGCAACATTTAATTCTACCAGTTGGACTGGCAGTCTGGATTGTGGAAATGAGTGAAGTGTATGTTGAATTCTGCTATCAAGTAAATGATGCATTTTATTCACATTAAACATGTATTCCAGTTAATCACACTGCTATCATTTGCCAGACAGATATTCCTTTCTGCCTTTTCGCTCAGACACTGCTATTGTGTTCATTTTTAAAAAATGTTAAAAGAGCCTAGCAGTTTAATTGAATAACTTTAGGGTGTTTGTTTGGGAAAAAAAGGGAAAAGGACAAATATGTTTCTTTTCCTATTAATCTTTTATTAATATTCTGGCAAAACTAGAATTCTATAATGCATACATTACCTTCCTTTCTGGTTTTTGAATTTCTGGTAAGATAACGCAGAAGGGCTTGATTACTTCAAGAAATTTAACTGTGAAGAAAATTTTGAGAAATTAAGCAGACATTTATCAATTAACAAAGATTCATCAAAAAGAAAAATCTTCGCTTGTTCAAAATCCACTAATTGCTATATGGTTATCATTTATATTTTGGGATTTGTACTAGAACACCTCCCTTCCAACCCTGATTCTATGATAAATCAAATATAGAAAATAATCTGGGAAGATTGACACATAAATGCATAGTCCTGTTTGAAGAAAAATAAAGGGAAGATCATCACAGACTCTGAAGTCAAAGATAATCAAAACAAGGAGTCTGTAATAAAAATGGCATTATCTTTAACTTCCCATCAAGATCAATTTGTAAAAGCACGTTGATGATTGCTGTTGATTTCAGCATTACCTGTGATGTTCCACAAATATTAAAACTACAGGACTTCCTTCAGGTCACCTTGTGCTTATCATGCAAACAATTACAAATGCGCTGCTGGTAATATTAACCTCATTAAGATTATTTTAGTCTGCTTCTAAATATCTTAAAAGAAAGCCAGTAAGGGGAAAAAAACAGTAACATATGCAGATTAAAATCCTAACAAGTTGTAAGAACATAAATAATACTTAGGACCAAACAACATCTTTCATACTAGCTGTGGTCTAATACATTTGGATGTCTGTTATGAGAAGGATGGACCAAAAAGATAACAATTCACATCAAGTTAAAGCCTGCTCAAACACAACCCACAGGAGAGGGAAGGACTCTAGCTGTGTCTCAAAACATTGTCAGAGGGAACTCAGCAGCACATTTCGTGTGGGATTTAGGTTTTCTGAAACAAGCACAAGACTGACACTGGTAGTAGATTGTCAACCAGGATGATCATTGTATCGTTTTCTGTAGATAACTCCCTTTTAAGTTGCAAAAAGTTATAATCGAATGCAGAAGAAAAGTTGCTCGGTTTGAAACTACAGCCAGACCCCAAACACAAGAGCTAACCCCATTTCTGGACGTTGTGAAAGCAGCCTATTTCATTTGCGATTCCACAAAACATTTCAGATTTGACCCCCAAGAACCTCTCGTGTATAAATCCGAACCTAGTCCGAATTTTGTTTTTTTCATACTTCCCATTTCTGCAAGTTAAACGACACTTAGCCTCAAATTGTTTCACCTATGGACGGACGGACCTCGAAGAGCTCACCTGAACGATTTTTGAACTCCAGCCATTAGTTAGTCTCGGGGACATTCGCCTTTCAATCACCAAGAAATGCCCCCGACACCACCTGTCTTGCCAAAAAGCCCTCCGACCCCCTCCCAACAAGTCCGACAGCCTAAGCGGGCGCATATGGTGACCACCATTTAGAGGGGCGATCCCGCATCTCCAGGCAAGGACACCCGTTGCCTCCAAGCCGCCATTTCGCGTCTTTCACCTTCAACTTCCCCACCCCAAAACTGGTCGTCCTCCTCCACCCCCCCGCCCCCCAGCAGCTTCTCCCTTCCACCCCGAGACCATCTCGACGAACGGCCGGCTCCCTCCTTCCCTCTCCCGCTCCACAATCGCCTCTCGCCAGCGCCTACGTCGCCGTCCAGCGATACTCACTCCCCATCTCGGCGCCCTCAACGCGGAAAAGGAAGGGCCGAGCAGCAGCAGCAGCAACTGCAACTCTCCCCTCAAAAAGACACGTCAGTTGATCGAAGCCCCACCCTCGGCGTCCTTCCGGTTCCTGCCACGCACTGGTAACCGCTACCAAAGTCGCGTACGCCCGCGCAAGCGCACCAAAGTCTTTTTTTTTTTTTTTTTTAAACCTACCTGCTGAATACACTTTTCTCTAGGACTACAATTCCCAAAGCCCTTTGAGAATGGGGAAAGGCTCTCCGGAGAAAATGTACGGCGGTCTCAAGTCTGTCATGACGGGATCGAGCGAAGTAGCGCGAGCGAAGGCGCAAAAGTGGTTTGCTCTCTGGTCGCCAGCGTGGCTTGAAAAGGGTTTTGTTTTGGGTATGGGTTTGTTTGGTTTTTTGGCAGTATTTTGGAGGCTACGAAGAATAATTTGCCACGTGTTATTTACAGTCGGCAATTTATGTGTGTGTGACGTTATAAAACAATGGTAGATTAGATGGAGTGAGAGAAGCAAATATTTTACAGACTATGCAGCTGATGCAAAACACTGAAAACTATAAGGTGGTAGACGATCAGATCTGCCAGAATTGGAATTATTCTGTTGGGAATTATTCAGCGCTTTCTGGAAGGGCTGGTGGGCAGAAAGCCAGCTTTCCTCCTTGTCCTGCAGCAGAATTTTGCCAGGAAACGCTGCACATTTTTGAGCGCCCTGGCCTATTCCACTGGATTTAATGGATAAGTCAGGTGGCACATGATGCCTTTTCTGCACTCGCAGACTTTTAGGGGGAGAAAACTGAAAAAAATAAAGCCTTTCTGCCAAGGGTCAACATACAGAGGCAAAAACGTAGTGGCTTCGTTTATACATTGCACTAAGCCATGTTTTCTCCTAACCATAATTTATGAACTCTATACATTACATAAAACCAAAGCAAATGACATTAAGCTAGTTAATAGAGTTCATTAAACTAAGCAATGGCCAACATCGCCTCCATCTGTCTGCTGAGCTAAATAGCTTCTAGGTGAGACTTTCTCCTTACAAGTAATCTGATTGACCTTTGCTTGGCAATTGACATGTATTTATGTTGGTTCACAGATCACATGATCACTTTGATTTTTCTCAGCCAGATTCCAACAAGCAAAATCAATACAAGCTGGATTCACATAATAACTGGGTGATTCAATTAACAACTGGTGATTTGCTTGATAGCAGCAAAAAAAGATTATAAAATCATTTAACAATTGTCTTGCTTAGTGATGCAACTCTGGTCCAAATTATGGTTATAAGCTAAGGACTACTTATATTACTTTTGTTTTATGCTTCTCTCACCCAAAAGCTATGTAAAGAAGCAACCTAGGGAGCTCCATACATTCAGGCTATGATCCTGTAAATATTAAGTGTTTGAACCTGAATGCTATCTCTCGTCAATAAAAGCATTGCCATGTGCACTGTTTACCCCATGTAAATAGAAGAGAGGAGTAGAGCGACAATTCAACAATATTTGGAAGACATATAAGAGGAAATACAGTGCTAAAGGGGTGGGGACAAACAGCAGTTAAGCATTGCCATCTGATTATTTATTAGGTTTTATGGCAGTTTACAATTAAAAGAGAATCAAAATAACCAAATTGACACCAGAAGTATTAAAAATTAATGACATGGTCAGTACTTAAAAACATATTCAATAACTGTGCTTTTAGGACAGTTAAGAATGAAGAGTTGGTGTCCCTCAAGAACTAGGGCATCTACAGAAGAAAAGTTTCAATCATGAGTTGTCTTTCACTTCCTTGTCCATTTGCCATTTTCTTGCAGCCCTAGCTGAGATAGTATTTAAGATTAATAGCAATTGCCTTATGTTTTCATCTCCCATTCTTCAGTTGGAGCCAGCTTGATACTACTGAGAGGCTCAGAAGCAGAGGGCTTGGTAAATTGATAAATATTGTGTATGAAGAGGGAACTTTATTGTATATGTATTCTTCATTAATAGGTAGATGCAATGTCTTGGAGATGATCCCTAAAAGAAATAACCAGTTTTCAGAGTCAAGGATGTATGGAATAGTTTGAACATTTGTTGTACAATAACAAAAATAAACAATTGAAACGAAAGCCTTATCAGGTCATGGCTTATTGAAGTAAACAAGCAGTATCTGTTATTTCTTAATATATAGAATATCTTGTCACGTGCTGTCCAGTATCTGAAGAAAGAAGTATACATCTGGTACTGATTGAATGCTCCTCTATTTGACCTTCACTGCTTGAACACATGGATACAGTGCCTCCATACAGACATTCAGTAATTTCTCTTTGCTAAAAACTGCATTCCAAGGGCAATGATGTTGAACAAATTGTCCAATGCTGCTATGTTCTATGGCATCACCATCAGCCTGAACAAGACTGAAGTACTTTACCATCCTCTGCCAGACACCAGGTCCATAGAACCAAAAATCCCTGCTAACACCCAACTGACAAATGAAAACAGCTTCAAATACTCGGGAAGCATCATCTCAAGTGATGGGTCTTTGGACAAAGAAATTGATTCCAGAATCAACAAGGCAACCCAGGCACTGGGGCAACTGTATACTAGAGCACTCAATCAACACAACATCCATATTCCACAAAGCTGAAACTCTACAGAGCTGGGATTTGGATTGCATCCCTGATTATCCCTTCTGTCCTATGAATATGAATCCTAAATTCTGTACTAAAGACCCATCAAGCAGCTGGAGAAATTTCACACGTGCATTCTCTGCTCCATCCTCAGCATTCGTTGGCAAGGTTATGTCTCCAACTTAGAACTCTTGGATTGAGTCCCTGATTATCACAGCCCACGTGAAATGGGTGGGATCAGAACAGATGACTATCGTATGCCTTGCTAGTTGGTCTATAATGTACTGGAGTCTGGGAAGAGACGTTGAAAGCTACAAAGACACTGAAAGGAACACCACGACACTGTGATATCCAGCCAAGGGAACTAGAAATTGCAATTGCTGAAAGAATCTGCTGGCGAGCCCTGTGCTATGACACCAGTTTTGAGGACAGGCACCACCAAAACTCATGGAAAATCATGAGTGCCACCCACTGTTATCAAAACAACAGATTTCCATTGTCCCCACTGTACTAGACACTGCGCTGCCAGCCTGGGGCTGCAGAGCCACCTCCATGTCCACAAATGAACTATGCAAGTGTCTTATTTGAATCTGAAAGACTACCATATCTATAGTCCACTGAACACACATTTCTGCTTCCTGCAAATAGTATGGGCAAATAAACAAACTCAATTTTTGAGACTTGATCAGAAAAAGAACTTCTAGGTTCTTCTTTAGGTCCTAATTCAACCGTGAAAGATAACTGTCTTTGCCTCAAGGAGTGCATCTCCTTCTTTCAAACTGCACAGTCCAACAGATGGTTTGTACCAGTATCCCCCTTTTTTTGTAGTTGGGCTTCTTTTTTTCTGTCTCTCTGAGAAGTGGTTTCCTCCTTACTAGGGCTGAGAGAAAGTCATTGGCCCAAGGTTACCTAGCTAGTTTTATGCCCAAAGTGGGACTAGAGTTAATAGTTTCTGGGTTTCCCACCTGAAGTCTTAATCATTGCACCAAACTGGCTCTCAGCATGGTATTACCAGTTCTGAAAAGATAAGGACTGGCATTTTCTTTTTTAATGGCCTTGGGCAGGGGTCAGCAACCTGTGGCTCTGGAGCCTCTTTTGGCCCTCTGTTGCAGCTCCCTGTCAGCTGATCCCACCACTGGCTGGTCCCTCCCCTCCCCATCACCTCTCCTGAGAAGGTAAGGGTGATGGCAGGGAATTGGAGGCTCATTCCAGAGCAGGAGGTGACTGGGTGGGAGTGAGTGATGTTGAGTTGGCCACACCTACTCAGTCACACTGGTTATTAAATTATTGGCTCCCAGTGTTTTCTGTGGGAAACAGGTCCAAATGGACCTGTTGCAGACCTCTGGCCTAGGGATATATCAACATTGCCAGTGTGTCAGAAACTGGTGTCAGGTTATCTGTACAGAGCTGATCTGACACAAATTTTATTTTATTCATTAAATATATACATTGCTGATTTTGCAGTTTGAAGTGACTCTTGGGTGGCAACTTAATAAAACATACACATATAAAAATAATTATAACTATAACAAACAGATAAAAATTACAAAAGATTAAAGATTAAAACAGGGACTTGGTCTGATGAGCCAAAGCTGAAACTCCAGGCTTGCCTTGATTGCACTGATTGGAATGTTTTTGAAGATACCTCTGCAGACATAGATGAGCTCACAGATACTGTAACATATGTCAGCTTCTGCTAAGACCTATGTGTACCAACAAGGAACCTACAAATATATAATAACAATAAACCTTGGTTCATAGCTAAACTCAAGCAGCTACGTCGTGTCAGAATGCTATACAATCAGGCCAGAAACATATTAACGAGAGATCAGAGCTGCAAAACCAAGGTACTCTGAAAAGTTAAGGAATCAGTTCTCAAAAAATGAACCAGCAAACATGTGGAAAACTCTAAAAAAAACCTCACTGGCTATAGCAAACCTCCTTCCCGGGCAAAAGGAAATCAACAACTAGCAGATGACCTGAATGTGTTTTACTGCAGGTTTGAAAGGAAACTACAGCCACCTATCTCCACAACCCCCATCTCAAGCACACCAACAACAGCCAAGCCTCCTACAACTGATCCCAACCCATTGGACCCATCATCTCTAGTGATTACAGAAAATGAGGTGCAAGGTCTATTTCACAGACAAAAGCCAGGAAAAGCACCAGGGCCAGACAAGATAACTCCTCTTGCTTAAAAGTCTGTGCTGACCAATTGGCCCCCATCTTCACCCAGATCTTCAGTAAATCACTAGAGATGTCCTATGTTCCTTCTTGCTTCAAATGCTCTACTACCATCCCAGTGCCAAAGAAGCCCTCCATCAAAGAACTGAATGACTACAGACCAGTTGCTCTAACGTGTAGTTATGAAAATCTTTGAAAGGCTAGTGCTGTCCCACCTGAAAATCATCATGGACCCGCTGTTAGATCCCATGCAGTTTGCATACCGAGCAAATAGATCGACAGATGATGCTGTTACTATGGCTCTGCACTA